ATTAAATCGTTCCACTTGACCATTCGACATAGGATGGTACGGAATTGAAAATACTTGTTTACAACCAGTTAATTGTGTGATTACTGACAACAGCTCATTTCTGAAATGAGAACCTTGATCGGACTGTATACATCTAATTGCACTATGTTTCAATATAATGTCTTCAAATAGCATCTCGGCAGCGTCTCTGGCATTTTCTGATGATAATGCCCGGGCAAAGACATATTTAGATAATCGATCAGTAATTATTAATACATATTGGTTGCCATCAGACGATCGAATAGGTGCTTTCCAAAAATCCATCTGCATTAATTCAAACACACCCTCTGGTGGTGGCTCCTTTTGTAATAATCCAGACTTCTTTCGTCGTTGTACATTAAATTGAGCACATTGTGCACAAGATCGAAGATATTGTTTGATCGAATTTAACATCTGAAACCAATAAAACTTATCCTTTATTTTATTATACGTACGATTGACACCAAAATGCCCACTAAGTGGATGATCGTGGTATGCGGATAGAATGTCTGGAATCATTGACATTGGTATCCATGGTAATTTGATTTTCGTATGACCATTTCGTGTAACTAATTTATATAAAAGTTGTTGATCGACAACATCATTCAAATATTTTGGAGGATCATCTTTGATATTTTGTATTCTTGTTTGAATATCAATGTCATTCCTTTGATCATTTAGAATTCGATCGATACTAAAATCAATTAATGACGGTGAAGGCAAGACTATTGTAGGTGTTGTTGATGAAAATGGAGCAAGTGTTGTGTCGAAATTAGGTGAGATATTAATCTTTTTCGTTTTGGATCTTGTCGTGATGTTCGATGACGAAGATGTAAATGGAGATGGTACGGACAATTTCGTTGATAATTGTTTGGCTCTAGATCTTGTAATGACATTGATTTGTAAAGCAGTTATATGATTAGCAGAAGGTTGTGTATAGTGTCGAACACACATTGGATGTTCTTCATCATCAATATCAGCTTCATCATATGGAAAACGTGATACTAAATCGGCATCACAATTACATTTTCCACGTTTATAAGTGATTGTTGTAATGTCGTATTCCAATAATTGTAATTGCCAACGCTCGATTCTCGATTCTCGAATTTTGAAATTTCTTTTTATTAAAACTACATAGTGGGCAATGATCAGTTTCTACTTGTATGGGTCGTCCCCAAATATATTCTTTCAACTTACAAATGCACCATACTAATGCTAAACATTCTCTTTCGGTCGTAGAATACTTTTTTTGTGCGGCATTACATTTTTTTGATACATATTTTATTACTTTTAATCCTTCTGGTGTTGTTTGTCGTAAAACACCGCCCATGCCGTAACCCGAAGCATCCGTTGATAATACGAGTGGTGATTTACCATCGGGAAAATTGAGAAATACTGGTGATGTGGTAAGTCGGCGTTTAAGTTCATTGTATGCGTTTTCCATTTGTGGTGTCCAACCTTTCCAAGTGGCGTTCTTCTTTGTGTAAGGATATAATGGTGCAGCAATCTTTGAAAAATTGTCGATATGGTCACGATAATAATTGGCAGCTTGAATGAATGAATGGACTTGTTTTGGTGTTGTTGGTGTTGGTAATTTAATAATTGATTCAACATTGTCGTGAAGTGGTCGAATTCCTTGTTGATTGATTGTGTGGCCCAGATAATTGATTTCGCCTTTAAAAAGAGAACATTATTGTGGATTAAGGTGTAGATTGGCATTGTGTAAAACCGAAAATATTTCATTCAAATGAGCAACGTGTTGATCGAATGTTTGAGAAAATATGATAACGTCGTCAATATATACTAAACAAAAATCCCATCTTGTATTTACCAATAATTCATACATTATACGTTGAAAGCTACATGGTGCATTTTTTAATCCTTGTGGCATTACATTAAAATGAAATATGCCATTGTATGTAACAAATGTTGTTTTCTGTTTATCGGATGAATGAATCGGGATTTGATGGTATCCGGTTTTTAAATCAAGTTTCGAGAAATAAGTATTACCATTTAATCTGTTTAATGTTTCTTCAATTCGTGGTAAAGGATAACTATCTCGTTCGGTGATATTGTTTAGCTGACGATAATCAATAACAAATCTATAAGTTCCATCTTTTTTTTTTTTTACTAAGATCACTGGTGAGGACCAACTAGAATATGATGTTTGAATTTGTCCAGATTTTAACATATCATCAGTAATTGTCGAAATATGTTGTTGTTTGATTGGATCTGTACGATAAACACGTGAATGAATTGGAAGATTTAATCCAGTTTTAATCATTGGCGGAGCAGAAATTTTAGCGATCAAATGTATAGATGTATGGAAAATCTTTCTATATTTAATTAACAATTGATGAATTGTGGATTTTTCATTTTGATCTTGGATGTGATCTAACAATTGATCAAATATAGCTTCTATTGAGTCATGTTTATCAACTTCTGGTTGTTGTTCATTCGACGACCATTGATAATTATCTAAACATGAATTGATACCGTAACAACGAATATCTAAAGGTTGTACAGTAAAAAACCAATATTAGTATGAATAGGTATTCGATATATTTTATTTGTTGGATTAGCGATTGTAATATATGTTTCATAATTTCGTATAGATAATAAAGTATCCGGAATGGCAATAAGTTTTTGATATTGGATGTTACGATTAGGATGAAAAATAACATTTGACGAAGAAGAAATAGGAGATTTAAGTCGAGCAATTGTTTCATGCTGTGGTTTTAATACTATGGTGTTAACTAATCGAAGATCAAAATTATGCTTGTCCACATTATCGTCCATTGATATAATAGCTGATGATCGTGTTGTGTATATGATAATTAATTTACTTGATTGGCAAATATCGACTGAATACTTTCTTATCCAATCTTGACCTAATATACATAATGTTGATAAAGATTTTGATATCAATGCAGTAATACTCGTTCTAATGTGTCTTATTTGAATATTAATTTAAGCTTCTCCATCAATATCGACTGTGGTATTTCTATCGGCCAGTGTATACTTACCTTTTATTCGTTTAATTGGATTATGTCGAATTTTGGATAACGTTGATGTGTGAATAAATGTATTACTAGCTCCTGTATCTAAAAGGCATTGTAATTGAATANGTGTTAACTAATCGAAGATCAAAATTATGCTTGTCCACATTATCGTCCATTGATATAGTAGCTGATGATCGTGTTGTGTATATGATAATTAATTTACTTGATTGGCAAATATCGACTGAATACTTTCTTATTCAATCTTGACCTAATATACATAATGTTGATAAAGATTTTGATATCAATGCAGTAATACTCGTTCTAATGTGTCCTATTTGAATATTAATTTCAACTTCTCCATCAATATCGACTGTGGTATTTCCATCGGCCAATGTATACTTACATTTTATTCGTTTAATTGGATTATGTCGAATTTTGGATAACGTTGATGTGTGAATAAATGTATTACTAGCTCCTGTATCTAAAAGACATTGTAATCGAATACCATTAATCGGAGCTGTGATAAATGATAATGGTGATGGATTCATTATTCTTTCAGAGGAACCACCATCCGGCACCCCTGCTATTGGTTTTTTGAATATTTTTGTTGTTGTTGACCTGTTGATGAAGTTGCAGTCTCTTGTTGACAATATCGAGCAATATGTCCAGGTTGAACACAATTATAACAATAAATATCTGATTTTCATGATAAATAATTTTTATGTTGTGTAACCGAATATGGTTGATTGTACCTTTGCTGAGATTGAGAAACCTGTGATGCTGGATATTGTTGATTCTGATTACATTCATTGTGATCATTTGATGGATATGGATTCGATGGTGGTGGAAACGGTTGCTGTGTTGTATATGAATAATCATTTTGTGCTGATGAAGAATAATATGTCGGTCTTGTCGAATAATTGTTTGGTTGTCGACTCGATGATTGGTAAGAATGTGATGGTAATGATAATTTGTCATCATTCTTCATTATAGTTGACACTTGAGTTGTTTGATTTTGTCGTAATTCGATCAACTTCTGAATATTTTCCAGTTGTTGTATCTTTGTTAAAAAATCAAATGGTGTTGAATAAGTTTCTTAAATAGCTTCTTGATATAATGATAATTTAAGTCCATTGGTTAATTTACGAATTTTTGTTTATCTGTCATATCTGAATCATATTTCTTGCATAAATCTATAATATCATAATAATACTTGATGACCGGCTCATTAATTTGCTGTTTTCGTTGGTCGAATAATTGTGCAATCAAATATTCATTCTTTTCAGCAAATTGTGTTATCACTGCTTGCTTGAATATTGACCAACTGAATATATAATGCTTTTGATCTGCTCACCATTTATATGCATATTCCTTCAAGAATGCTGGAGCATATTGAAAATATAAAGTTTCTTTATCACCTGATATTTGTGCAATGTCAAAATAATGAACAATACTCTCCAACCATTTAATAACCTCATCGTTGGGATTGCCATTGAACGGCTTGACAAAGTCTTTCATTTGTTGAAGTGGATCGGTATTAACTATTATATGAATAGGTGTCGTATTTACATTCGAATATGGTAATTGTGTTATTGTTGTCGTCGGTTGTTGAACAATTGCACAAAATGTATCAGAATGAGATGAACGTACATTTGATTGTTGTTGAGATTGTTGTAATTTTATCAGTTCTAATTCTTTTGTTAACCGTTCAACTTCTAATTTTAAACGATCATTTTGATCAAACGTTGTAGTTGGTGATAATTGATGTAATGATGTGTATTGTAACTCATCTAATTTTCGTTCGTTGTTCATATTTGAATTTAATTGTAGACGTTGCGGAATTGTTGATGTGTTTGTTGGTAAATCTAATCCTTGTGGATTTTTTGACGAAACAGATGAACGAAGGGTTTCTTCAGTGCTGGTAAACGATGATGATGGACCTAACATGATTTTCATATCATGTGGTGGTAATATTTGTTGAGCAGGGTATATTGATGAGATTGTTCGACTGAATGATGTTCATCAATTATTGAAAATTGTTCATTAAATGATACACTCTCTTCTTTATATTGTGAACTCTTCGATTTCAATATTGGATTTTCTGCTTGCTTGTTATTGATCGATTGTGAAATATCAGTGGTTGTTGTTAATTGGTCTGAATGTGATGATGCCATTCGATGTGCAAATGGTAGATCACATGAAAGTTCACTGATTGTTTTATCAATTTTTGTTTTACTTCTCGTTTGATAATACTGAGGAGTTGACATATGAAATTTGTTTAATAATAATACTTTTGGACGATCGGGTCCAATTATTTATTGTAATAATGTTTCAACAATAAATCAGCTAGTGCACCAGTTAGATTTCTCGTTGCTACGCCCTTCTTTTTCCCTTTATTTTAAAATTCAAAGAAAAAAAAACCCTTTAAGAAAAAACATCCATATATATATATATATATGAGGTTAAAGGAACATTCTTCTTAACATCCAAGACAAGAGAAATCGTAGAATAAATGTATAAGGGTACCTCCACCAGAAATCGCCAGTCGATCCGGCGACCACGCCCAAATTTGTTGAAACTTTCAGCGTTTGTAGAGCTTTTTATGCTGATCATTTTGATAATCAAATTTTTCAAAAATAAACTCTGTTTTCGCGAAGATACAGGTCAAATACGAAAAATGCACTTTTTGAAAACAATAAAAATAAAACTTGCATTTTTATCGAAATAGCGATGAAAGTTCCACTTTTTTTTGCTCAGATTTTAAAACCAACGACATATTCAGATTCCTCGTGAAAAACTACATCAGAATCCATAGGAATTAAAAAACTTTTGACGAATTTTATACGGTTCACTAGGTCCCTAGGTAATGCACTANTGTTCGCGCTCATGTTCGTGTTCATGTTCAAGTTCTGTGTTTTTTCTGTTATATCTGAAGATGACCACATAGTAGGTCGAAAGCTCATATGAAATAAAATTCAAGATCTCTAAAATACTAGCTGCATTTATTCTTTATTACTTACATGAACAATTGAATGTCATAGAAATGTTATAAGTAAAATTCTTTTCACAATTAGTATCTTGGATATTGTAAAATATGGAATTTCACGATTGTTGTATTCAGTTGATAATGTGTTGTATTGAACAATTTTAACTTCGTTCGTAAAATGGAATAGATGTGGAAACCTCGGACTTAAGTCACAGAGTTATGTGTACTTCAAAAAGTGAATGAGACAAATCAGTCATCCTAGAATGTGCGAATATACAAATTAACCTGAAAACCTTTTCTATAAACACTTGAATTCTATTGACTACTGCTCAACCAATAGGATTTGGGAGCGAATACAGCTCAGATTTGAACTCTTCGCCTTAATTTACCCTCAGAAAGTCGTTTTTTCTGTAACTTGATTTCTATTGGTCAGTGCTCAACCAATAGGGTTTTGAAACAATTGGAGTACAGATTCGAGTTCTCCACGCCAGAAAACCTTCAAGCATCACCTCTTACCGGAAGATAGTGCTCTAATTGTGGATCAGTTAGAGCGTGGACAAGAACAGAACCGATTCCCGTTTATTTATCTTTGCAATAGATGAGCTAGCCTTCTTGTTTCTTTATGTTTTATACACCAGTTGGTAGCTCGTAAAATTCTTTATGGAATGGTATATAATAATTGGGGTTTTGTTTGAGTATGATAGGAAAATTTTTTTACGAAAGCGGGGATGGGTCGATTTTCGCAGAGAAAGTCATAGGGAAAAATTAGTATTTTTGCAATAACTCAGGAATGGTTCGGCCAATTCTACCCATCTTCGAACTCGACCGAGACATTGTTAAGACTGAACTGTGTAGAGAATTTCATCGCGATTAGACTCTCCTTTCAAAAGTTATCGTGTAAACGGCCGGACGGACACACTAACCGATTCTAGAGTGTACTCACTTTTTGAGTATACAATAAAATTGTTGACATGTTCTTCTTTTTGATAATGGTCTTGTGTATGTTCAACGATATACTTGACGTCAGTAATTCTCTTTATAATACGAAATGGACCATGATATCGAGGATCTAGTTTCGAACGACTAGACAATATTTTTATTCATACCATGTCATCTAGTGTGTATATTGGATTGGCTCGTCCTTTGTCGTATCGTCGTTTACTCAATTGTTGTTGTTGTTTGATATTGAATTGAGCTGCATGAATGGCCACTTGCTTGAATTTGTTTGCTTTTTCCCAATAATCGTGTGGTTTTAACATGACAATTTTTGATGATAGAAATTTAAACGGTGATATTAATCGACGATTAAATGCTAATTCATATGGGATAAAACCAGTTACAGAGTGAATACTCGAATTATATGCCCATACAATGGATTGCAAATAAATATCCCAATCATTGACGTTATCATGATAATATTTCTTGAGTTGATCACAAAAGGTTGAATTAAATCGTTCCACTTGACCATTCGACATAGGATGGTACGGAATTGAAAATACTTGTTTACAACCAGTTAATTGTGTGATTACTGACAACAGCTCATTTCTGAAATGAGAACCTTGATCGGACTGTATACATCAAATTGCACCATGTTTCAATATAATGTCTTCAAATAGCATCTCGGCAGCGTCTCTGGCATTTTCTGATGATAATGCCCGAGCAAAGACATATTTAGGTAATCGATCAGTAATTATTAATACATATTGATTGCCATCAGACGATCGAATAGGTGCTGTCCAAAAATCCATCTGCATTAATTCAAACACATCTTCTGGTGGTGGCTCCTTTTGTAATAATCCATGCTTCTTTCGTCGTTGTACATTCAATTGAGCACATTGTGCACAAGATCGAATATGTTGTTTGATCGAATTTAACATCTGAAACCAATAAAACTTATCCTTTTTTTTATTATACGTACGATTGACACCAAAATGCCCACTAAGTGGATGATCGTGGTATGCAGATAGAATGTCTGGAATCATTGACATTGGTATCCATGGTAATTTGATTTTCGTAGGACCATTTCTTGTAACTAATTTATATAAAAGTTGTTGATCGACAACATCATTCAAATATTTTCGAGGATCATCTTTGATATTTTGCATTCTTGCTTGAATATCAATGTTATTCCTTTGATCATTTAGAATTCAATCGATACTAAAATCAATTAATGACGATGAAGGCAAGACTATTGTAGGTGTTGTTGATGAAAATGGAGCAAGTGTTGTGTCGAAATTAGGTGAGATATTAACCTTTTTCGTTTTGGATCTTGTCGTGGTGTTCGATGATGAAGATATAAATGGAGATGATACGGGCAATTTCGTTGATAGTTGTTTGGCTCTTGATCTTGTAATGACATTGATTTGTAAAGCAGTTATATGATTACCAGAAGGTTATGTATAGTGTCGAACACACATTGGATGTTCTTCATCATCAATATCAGCTTCATCATATGGAAAACGTGATACTAAATCGGCATCACAATTACATTTTCCACGTTGATAAGTGATTGTTGTAATGTCGTATTCCGATAATTGTAATTGCCAACGCTCGATTCTCGAATTTTGAAATTTCTTTTTATTAAAACTACATAGTGGGCAATGATCAGTTTCTACCTGTATGGACCGTCCCCAAATATTTTCTTTCAACTTACAAATGCACCATACTAATGCTAAGCATTCTTTTTCGGTCGTAGAATACTTTTTTTGTGCGGCATTACATTTTTTTGATACATATTTTTATACTTTTGATCCTTCTGGTGTTGTTTGTCGTAAAACACCGCCCATGCCGTAACCCGAAGCATCCGTTGATAATACAAGTGGTGATTTATCATCGGGAAAATTGAGAAATATTGGTGATGTTGTAAGTCGGCGTTTAAGTTCATTGTATGCGTGTTCCATTTGTGATGTCCAACCTTTCCAAATGGCGTTCTTCTTTGTGTAAGGATACAGTAGTGCAGTAATCTTTGAAAAATTGTCGATATGGTCACGATAATAATTGGCAGCTTGAACGAATGAATGGACTTGTTTTGGTGTTGTTGGTGTTGGTAATTTAACAATTGATTCAACATCGTCTTGAAGTGATCGAATTCCTTGTTGATTGATTGTGTGGTCCAGATAATTGATTTCGCCTTTAAAAAGAGAACATTTTTGTGGATTAAGTTGTAGATTGGCATTGTGTAAAACCAAAAATATTTCATTGAAATGAGCAACGTGTTGATCGAATGTTTGAGAAAATATGATAACGTCGTCAATATATACTAAACAAAACTCCCATCTTGTATTTACCAATAATTCATACATTATACATTGAAAGCTAGATGGTGTATTTTTTAATCCTTGTGGCATTACATTAAAATAAAATATACCATTGTATGTAACAAATGTTGTTTTCTGTTTATCGGATGAATGAATCGGGATTTGATGGTATCCGGTTTTTAAATCAAGTTTCGAGAAATAAGTATTACCATTTAATCTGTTTAATGTTTCTTCAATTCGTGGTAAAGGATAACTATCTCGTTCGGTGATATTGTTTCGCTGACGATAGTCAATAACAAATCTATAAGTTCCATCTTTTTTTTTTACTAAGATCACTGGTGAGGACCAACTAGAATCTGATTTTTGAATTTGTCCAGATTTTAACATAGCATCAATAATTGTCGAAATATGTTGTTGTTTGATTGGATCTGTACGATAAACACGTGAATGAATTGGAAGATTTAATCCAGTTTTAATCATTGGCGGAGCAGAAATTTTAGCGATCGAATGTATAGATGTATCGAAAATCTTTCTATATTTAATTAATAATTGATGAATTATGGATTTTTCATTTTGATCTTGAATGTGACCTAACAATTGATCAAATATAGCTTCTATTGAGTCATGTTTATCAACTTCTGGTTGTTGTTCATTCGACGACCATTGATAATTATTTAAACATGAATTGATACTGTAACAACGAATATCTAAAGGTTGTACGGTAAAAAACCAATATTAGTATGAATAGGTATTCGACATATTTTATTTGTTGGATTAGCGATTGTAATATATGTTTCATAATTTCGTATAGATAATAAAGTATCCGGAATGGCAAGAAGTTTTTGATATTGGATGTTACGATTAGGATGAAAAATAACATTTGACGAAGAAGAAATAGGTGATTTAAGTCGAGCAATTGTTTTATGCTGTGGTTTTAATACTATCGTGTTAACTAATCGAAGATCAAAATTATGCTTGTCCACATTATCGTCCATTGATATAGTAGCTGATGATCGTGTTGTGTATATGATAATTAATTTACTTGATTGGCAAATATCGACTGAATACTTTCTTATTCAATCTTGACCTAATATGCATAATGTTGATAAAGATTTTGATATCAATGCAGTAATACTCGTTCTAATGTGTCTTATTTGAATATTAATTTAAGGTTCTCCATCAATATCGACTGTGGTATTTCCATCGGCCAGTGTATACTTACCTTTTATTCGTTTAATTGGATTATGTCGAATTTTGGATAACGTTGATGTGTGAATAAATGTATTACTAGCTCCTGTATCTAAAAGGCATTGTAATTGAATACCATTAACCGGAGCTGTGATAAATGATAATGGTGATGGATTTATTATTCTTTCAGAGGAACCACCATTCGGCACCCCTGCTATTGGTTTTTTGAATATTTTTGTTGTTGTTGACCTGTTGATGAAGTTGCAGTCTCTTGTTGGCAATATCGAGCAATATGTCCAGGTTGACCACAATTATAACAATAAATATCTGATTTTCTTGATGAATAATTTTTATGTTGTGTAACCGAATATGGTTGAGTGTACCTTTGCTGAGATTGAGGAACCTGTGATGCTGGATATTGTTGATTCTGATTACATTCATAGTGATCATATGATGGATATGGATTCGATGGTGGTGGAAACGATTGCTGTGTTGTATATGAATAATCATTTTGTGCTGATGAAGAATAATATGTCGGTCTTGTCGAGTAATTGTTTGGTTGTCGACTCGATGATTGGTAAGAATGTGATGGTAATGATAATTTGTCATCATTCTTAATTATAGTTGACACTTGAGTTGTTTGATTTTGTCGTAATTCGATCAACTTCTGAATATTTTCCAGTTGTTGTACCTTTGTTAAAAAATCAAATGATGTTGAATAAGTTTCTTTAATAGCTTCTTGATATAATGATAATTTAAGTCCATTGGTTAACTTACGAATTTTTTGTTTATCCGTCATATCTGAATCATATTTCTTGCATAAATCTATGATATCATAATAATACTTGATGACCGGTTCATTAATTTGCTGTTTTCGTTGGTCGAATTGTTGTGCAATCAAATATTCATTCTTTTCAGCAAATTGTGTTTTCACTGCTTGCTTGAATATTGACCAACTAAATATATAATGCTTTTGATTTGCCCACCATTTATATGCATATTCCTTCAAGAATGCTGGAGCATATTGAAAATATAAAGTTTCTTTATCACCTGATATTTGTGCAATGCCAAAATAATGAACAATACTCTCCAACCATTTAATAATATCATCGTTGGGATTGCCATTGAACGGTTTGACAAAGTCTTTCATTTGTTGAAGTGGATCGGTATTAACTATTATATGAATAGGTGTCGTATTCACATTCGAATATGGTAATTGTGTTATTGTTGTCGTCGTTTGTTGAACAATTGTACAAGATGTATCAGAATGAAATGCACGTATATTTGATTGTTGTTGAGATTGTTGTAATTTTTATCAGTTCTAATTCTTTTGTTAATCGTTCAACTTCTAATTTTAAACGATCATTTTGATCAAACGTTGTAGTTGGTGATAATTGATGTAATGATGTGTATTCTAACTTATATAATTTTCGTTCGCTGTTCATATTTGAATTTAATTGTAAACGTTGCGGGATTGATGATGTGTTTGTTGGTAATTCTAATCCTTGTGGATTTATTGACGAAACAGATGAACGAAGGGTTTCTTCAGTGTTGGTAAACGATGATGATGGACCTAACATGGTTTTCATATCATGTGGTGGTAATGTTTGTTGAGCAGGGTATATTGATGGCGATTGTTCGACTGAATGATGTTCATCAATTATTGAAAATTGTTCATTAAATGATACATTCTCTTCTTTATATTGTGAACTCTTCGATTTCAATATTGGATTTTCTGCTTGCTTGTTATTGATCGATTGTGAAATCTCAGACGTTGTTGTTAATTGGTCTGAATGTGATGATGCCATTCGATGTGTATATGATAGATCAGATGAAAGTTCACTGATTGTTTTATCAATTTTTGTTTTACTTCTCGTTTGATAATATTGAGGAGTTGACATATGAAATTTGTTTAATAATAATACTTTTGGACGATTGGCTCCGATTATTTATTGTAAAGGTGTTTCAACAATAAATCGGCTAGTGTACCAGTTAGATTTCTCGTTGCCACCCCCTTCTTTTTCCCATTATTCTTTTAAATCCAAAGAAAAAAAACAAAAAGAAAACCCTCTTCAAGAAAAAAACATCCATATATATATATATGAGGTTAAAGGAACATTCTTCTTAACATCCAAGAGAAGAGAAATCGTAGAATAAATGTATAAGACAATAAATGAACAAGAGAAAGAAGAACGGATGATTAATCTTCTATCCTAACAGTGAGTCTCTCGCTGTCGTTTGGTCGTTATGATTTGGTGTTGGTGTGCTCAAGATGAAGGAGTGGCGTGTGGTTTCGCGGGACAGAATAGTTGACTGTGAGCTAGTGTGGATTATGGGTCGGTTTCGCATACAAGATAACTTAAAGCTTAGGCCGTAACATTTCAACAAGACGAGCATATAGACGAAGTCACAGACATATCGAAAAATCTTCAGTGAAGGTAACCCATGCCCACACTTGTATGCTGACCGGCACCCACCACCACTCACATATTGCGCCCACCATATAGCTTGAGCCTACAACAGCGCTCATCGCAAATCTAGACCCACATACTTATTATTATACTGATATGCTTAGACACATGCAAGCTCCGTCACCAACGTATGAACACATCATGAAACAAAGCCTAAGACACTTCCACAACGATACAACACATGCTCACCCACAACGGACGCCTCTACCATGACTCAACCGAACCTATACTAACTTCCTTAACCACACACACAGGTTCACCCTTAGTACATGTCCTTGGTGACGATACCCCATTGCCCTGCTCCCATGCACGAACTCGTCCACACACATTTTCTGTGGCCCGAGCCCACTCGTACACCCTCATGCAGTTTTGGCAAACCACTGTCGCAAACGGCAGGAACGTTGACCAGCTTGGCCGAATATTTCAATTATTGTACTCGTATAGTGCTAACTGCTTTTTGTGGTTTGGATTGTGTACCTCATTCGAAACGAATATAATCAATACTTTACATAAAATATTTTGGTATAATACACTTTTATCAAACTTATTAACTGTAAATCTTACTGGCTGTTTGAAAGAGCAAGAAGCACCGCTGTTATGCATTTTGAGAAGTTCTATGACAGTCATTAAAAGATCCTCTGTAGATATGTCCTAAAAGAGCCTATTTTTCAATATGTTCATTAATATGTTCAATAGCTGCTCTTGCGCTGTAAATAGTACGATTAAGCTAGGACAATCAGAATAGAACACATCAAACAATCTAGTAAAAGTTATAATAAATGGGAAAGGTTGATAAAAATTCATTTTAGCAAAAGATTTTGCATTGACTCTTGATTACGTTTCTTTCGTACAAGGTATACAATCAAAAATAACAACACACAGTTACCATTGTACGAGTACTATTATTGGTAAAAAACGCCATATCATTCTGATCTATTGTAGAAGCAACATGCTATATATAATTGGGGTATTTGGTCAGACTGGGCAACGGCATATATATGGACTTCCAAAGTCACACTTCAACTCAGTAGTTCTTCGTGCAATTGAGAGTGAGTATTTCCGGCGGTGACCTTCCGTCGGGCACCAATATGACATGTGGAATTGAATGACGCAGTAGCTTTGGAAGTGGTCGTGACAATACATCACTGCACGTGACTGAACGATGAGCACTATTGTGACCTCCGGCTGCGCATGTCGCTCAGGATCTATCTTTGCCTCAATGAGTGCGGTTGTTAACTGTGGTCTCCATTGCTGCTGTGTTTCTAGCAATGAATGTCTGCACATACATATTGTTAGTGCTTTGCTATCGCTATTGATGACGGGATATGCCAAATTACGAACATGTTACGGCCACTCGGGCGAATGCAGCACAATGTTGAGCATGGATTACAATTCTGGTGTGAGTGCAGCTGGTGGATTTCTCTAGGGGTCTCACCGTAAATATGGTTGTTAGTGGATGTCGGTTTCGCTGAAGCACTCAAGCCAACCCTTCATGACACCAAAACGCATAGGCTGGCATCCATGTTGATAGTCAGCTCAAAAGACATTTCTTTTCGAAGTCATAACACTTCGGATTAACATTGAACACTGTTCTCGTCGGCGGCGGCATCCACATCGACTTCTGCTACGAAAGCAGCATGCGCATCGCTAACGCAAGCTAGGGTGTCTTTGTACAACCAAATCTGCGCACAGCTTCAAACCTCGCCTGCCATCGTTTGCTTTGCCATACATGTATGTTCTCTTGCAGTATACATAGGCCCTGATACCATCCGTCCTGCCTTGCAGATACATACTCACATTCTCACCTAACCCCCGAAACCTCTTGCTTCTCATGTGACTTTTTGTGCGCAACTCTGGTTGAAGTTTTGAGTTCAAGAATGACTGTAATACTTGGCTAAGTGTTGGCTAGTGTAGCTTAGCGTGCGTGCAGGGCAAAAGTTTTCCGGCTCTTGGCAAGCTCTGGCAACTGTGTGAGCCGCTGCTACCCATGTAGCTGTGTTTGTGGTATCTGCCATTGTAGATGCAGTCACGGACCTCTTTGAAACCATAATCTCTCTGTCTCGATGGATGTCTATGCATGTGTCTTGGTGTTGCTTTTCGTGAGGAGACCGAGACTGGTGTGTTTTTAAAGATAAAGATATGTTTGAGTAATTGTCTTTGTTGTACCTGTTATGATTCATAGGAAGAATGAGTCAAGATGCGCAAGCAGCTGCCGTTTTAGTACTTCGTCTAGGTGTGTATGGAGTGTATGCATGCCCACTGCAAGAAAAATTACGACCTCAATCATCACATCACGCCAAGATGCCCATATAACAGCAGCTACAGCCACACTGACGCTCGTAGAAGTGCCCGCATCGGCAGATTCCCACCTAAGAAGGTCAACATTCCAACCGGCACACTCCACCACAACCCGCCGCACCAGAGGTGAAACGTACACTGAGTTTTACAATCAAAGCAGGATGCGCGGTGACAGCCGCTGCAGTACCCATTGAACAGACAATACCAAACACATATTAACGACGACAAGTGGCTCGTTATCCACAACGGACACCTGCTGCCACGGGACAACCACGCATATGTGGGTATACGATGTGCAGTATTATGAGTCGCGATTACGGGCGTCGCTGTATATAATGACTTTGCCACTATGGGCGCGATCCTTCGTTGTTGCTGCAAATACAATTTTTCTTCTAACAATGCAGATTCATACAAATCTTCAAGTTTTGCTTTGTCGTCGGTACCGAGTGTGCTGTGTGCCTAAATCTGAAGGTGTGGTTATACATATATGTCTGTGGTCTTTTGTGTTGCCATTGAAGGAGTATTGATTAAAGCGGAGGAGGCCACTGTGGCAATGTTGGTGCATGTGTGTGGCGGAAGTAATTAGGTATGCTTGATCGAGTTTGAATGACTGCGCCTAGTTATGCTTTCTGTGATATCTACAGATTAAGTCCTAACTAGAGACCTGCACAGAGTCGTTTTTGGAGTCGCCATTGAAGCCAAGTAAATTTTTCACCGAAAATTTAGTTGTAGCATAAGAATTTTTCGACCTGCTGGTTTTGTTCTGTCATATTTAATGTATAAACGGATGCATTTTGGAGGTTTCAACTGCATCTTATCAAGGCCTATGAACATGAGAGAAAGTCGGAATTAGATTCAACTCCGACTTTTTTTCATGTTCATAGGCCTTGATAAGATGTCTTTAGAACCTCTAAAATGCATCCGTTTATAGATTAAATATCAGAGAACAAAACCAGCAAGTCAAAACAGTTCGTATGTTAAGACTAAATTCTCGGTAAAAAATTTACTTGACTCCGACGGTGAAGCCGAAAACGACTCCGTGCAGGACTCTATTTGCCACGCACCACATCCGTTCCTAAGGATGCTACCACAACCACAGACACCGCGGCAACGGCAAATTCATGCTCAGCCACAGCCAACACCCACTGCTACCGCACTACGGAGCCTGATGGCAACGCACAACCGTGCCTACATTACCTTTATGAGTCACACTCGCTCGCGCTATCTCGAGACATCCTCACATACATCCTTCGCATATCCAACCAATGCGCCCGCAGCTATATTCATTTGCACAGGCAGACTCGAATTTGCTTGATGCTCATGTGACTGTAGGCTGCGATAAAGCTTACAGCTTCACTTCTAACACCGACTTCATGCGCACGCCCACGGGTGCGTCTGTCTGTGGGTACACTCAACCGTACACATATATATTACTTGTAACACAACAACAAAAGCAATATTTGGCAGAAAATATTTGTTTATCATGCTTAGTTATATGTGGCAGTGAATAAATTCGCTCACTTTACATTCTACGCTCTTTGCAGCTTTCGTCAAACAAATCTCCATATCCTTGAGGTCGGAAATTTTTTTCTCTGGATTAAGTTAAGCAGGTTCATTTTCAGAATGCTCCTTTACTATTAAACTTGTTAGACAAGTGCGCGCCAGTGCCTTTTATATATCTGCAGAACTGTCTTATCAAAAGTATCATTTCCGCTAGATCTCGGTGAGCGCTCTGGCACAGTAACATTTTTTGTGGTTACACATGCTCTCAGAAACGCACGAATTGCAACTCTTTCTTGTTCTTTAATATCGATGCAGATTTCGTAGTTTTAGGTTGGTTTAGTTATATCTTCGTTATTCCGCCGTATTGACTTGCCAACGTAGTCGCAGCCACTTCGAAACGTACATTCTACGCTATTTGCTTCCATCTGCACTCGAATGTTTTTCATGGACAAGAATATTAGCTGGGTACTAATGACATGTGGAAGGTCAAGCGACCAAACGTTAACGCCAAAATATCAACGTGTTGAAAATGAATACTATAGTGCCAGAGAAGATCACCAATTTGCGCCTACTTGTGTTTTAGCCTGATGTTTCAACTGCCGGCCAATAATAACCATTCTTGTAGAATA